TCTGTAACTGACACATTAATTCTTTCCAATTGCTTTCTTGCTGGAATCCATATTGATATTACTAAACAGAAGGATAAGATATAGCTCTCAATTATTCTAGAGAGAGATGGAGATATTATTTTAACCTTTGTTCTTTTGATCTCTTGTAAAATGAATTGGAATATGGCTGTTTCCATAAGGCATTCTTTAAAAATGAAATTCAAACATAGCGATTCCAAATTTTATTTGCAGAAGTTTTATTGGGAGTCAGTGTAACTTCTCCATTTGATTCATCCCCAAGCTATGTGACTTACATCTGTATCACAGCAAGGAGGAGTTATTGCCTATCACAACTTAAAAGTTTATTTCTTTTCATGCGATCCCAAACATTCTTCTTTTATGTCAGTATATAATTTGATCCTCATATCTTGCTCCTTGATCATTTAAAAGAGGTAGATTATGAATTTTGTTTTCAATATTTTTAGAAAATAATAAGAAAGGGAGTAAGTGACAGTTAATGTTTCTGTACTCCTCCCCCCCCGACCCCTAAAAGCTAGGGGAGGAATTCAGGCAGCCAGAAGCCACACATTGTCAAAGGGCACCTTAAAGTCATCAGCTACATTCCCAGGCAGGCAGTGCAGACATGCTTCAGATGTTTTTATGAAGCTGCATTACAAGGTAGCATCAAAAATCTGCACTACTGGGACTCGTTATGATACCTGTGCGTTGCTGTGTATTTCTAGTTTCAGTCTCAGCTGATTAAAAAAAAAAAATAAAGCAAGGTATCTGAATCTTATTATGGTTAATCTTTCTGATACCTTAAGGCCAAGATCTGATGGTTATTAAAAATATCTAGCAGTGATATCTCCAGTGTTTTGACTAAATCCAAATATACATTTTTTTTTTCCACTCCCTTAAATTTTAAATGATGCAGCTCTCCCCTTCAGAAGTCTTTGGTTAGTACAACCGTCCAGGTAAGCAGAATGACTCAGAAAAAATTTTGGACATTCTTCTGCCGATATTGACTGCTGTATTTCAGTAATTAATGAAGTGGTTTCTAAGGCAGGTTTGAGTTATTCGGAGGGAATAAGATGTATGTTTTTTAAAAAAGAGAAGTAAGAGGGTGTAAGGGGAACACTGGGTTAAGCAAACCAGCATTCTCATCTCAGTCTTCTACCAGTGACTTGGTGCTTCTCCTTTAGGAAACCTTTTGGAACTAACAACTGTCGGTTCACTCCTGTGCACTGGACAGCACAAAGAAACATCAGTCCCCGAGGGTACAGTTCTCCAGTGCTCCTTTTTTTTCACTCAGGAGAAGGTAAATTACAAGGTTAAATTACTGCATCATTTTTGCAAATGCAATGTCCCTCTTCCCAGCCAGGCAACGTCGCTGACAGGCAGCTGGAGCGGAGCCACGATGCTGTCTGTTCCACTGACCCATCCAGGACACACCATACCTACTGTGCGCATGTGTTGCTCAGATGTCTTGCACATGCTCAGCAAATCTGACATGGTCTTGATGCCTCAGTCTTATAATGTGTGTGCGAATCAACTGCGCAGCACATGGATGACAGAGCACACACAGAAATCCCAAGCAGAAATCTAGCCTACCTCACTGGAGAGAGAGAGAGAGAGAAAAAAAAGTCTTGCTTCTATCTGTGACCCTGAAAGCTGATTAGGGTGTGTGAATTCTCTCTCTGTTATCTTCTTTTGATCAGTGTAACTATCTATAAAGCACACGGGACTTCACATTGGACGTATCTTCAATTCAAAGCTGGTATGTAGGCCAAACGTAAATTATAATGAATGTCTAAGCTTGTCAGCATATAAATAGTAAGACCATGGTACTACAGAGTACTAGAAAGGTAAGTCCAGGAGGTTTTTCCCCCTGTTTTAAATATTCAAATGAAGATATATATGCACATCTTTTAAAGCAAACTTATTCTGTCCAACTGTGCCTATATCTCACACCAGAAAAAGTCAGTTGCCTGTTAGAAATAATTATTTTAATGTTATTGGGCTTTCAGTAAGTTTTAGAAGCACAAAAAAAAAAAGCTAGAAAAGAAGGAAGACTAAACCAAAAAGCCTTTAAAAACCCCAGACAACCAGTACTACTAGACTGCTCAGCTCCATTATTTCACAAGGGCTTTGCATGAAGGAAAACCACACCGGATCTTACCAGCAGCCAGCTTTTCAGAGCTGGAAACGGGACGTCTGACCCTTTTCTCTGGTTATCTGTGTGCGCTACAGGAAAACACTACACGTTGTTCACTCCTAAGATTGTATATCTGACTATGTCATTGTCAGTCCTTTGAACTAAAAGGTGTACATCTGAAATAGGCCTATATTACTGTTCAGAGGCTTATGTGAAATCACAGACCGTTCTCAGTTGGGTTCAGTGAGATGGTGATCCCAGTCAGAGCTGCTTTTCTCCACAAGGGCAGACAATGCCACCACTACTGCAGACAGCAGGATTGCACGGGGGTCTGCAGTGGCTGACCGAGTCCCTCACACATCTGACAGGGTGACAGGTTGGAAAGGTAAAATTTATACCACTACTGCCCATCTCCCACCGGCAGGGTGGAAGGTTTGAAGAAACCTGTTCTCTGTGGTTGCAGTCCTTCCTCAAAACTGGCCTTGCCCAAGTGCTGCCAGCAGGGACAGAGAAGGTAAAAGGAAATGACAGATCTTCCTGTTCTCTTTTCTAATTACCTTTCATCTCCTCTGTCCCTATTTACAGCTTGTAATGTGCTGTATTGTAAAGGTGCTCCTTACTCTTTTTTTCTAAAACTGGCAGTAAACTGCTAGCTAGACGTAAAACTGAGATAAGGTGTAAGGCAGGCATGCCAACTCCAACTTTAACTTTACAACAATTAAAGGCTGATTTATATTTTGAACTGTCACTATATGGTTTACAAGGGGAAAAGTGCGAGTAAAGATTGAGATTTTCCTTCTATAAATTGTGGAAGGGTCAGGGGGAAGTGACAGGTCTCATTTTAAAACCTTATTGAAGTAGCTGTGTTGAATGATGGTGCCATTGCTTGTCTCTGTGTCTCATTGTCATAATGTAGGCCCTGTAGAAGAAACCACAGAAGTCAAAGTACAACAGATCCAGAAAGAGCTGGAAACTTAAGGAAGAAACAAACAAAAAACAAAAACAATAGACATGGGCTGGAGAAGATATTTTATTTATTTGTTACTAGTAGTTAAAATGACGTACAAAATGCTGGGAAGAAAAAACTCCAATTCTATTCAGTTACAAAATAATTAAAACTTCATTTTAAACCAAGTTTTGCTTTGTGAGACCGAGCATGAAAATACTGCAGCCTTAGGTTATATAGTCCATTGTTTTTAGAATAAAGCAGACATTTAAATACATATTGTGGTTGATATTAAATATCTCATATAATTGTAAGTTAGCAGAACTTTCTTACTCTCAGGCAATAACTAGCAATTTATAAAAGTTCTTTGTATAAAATTTACATTGGGGGGGAGGGGGGGATCTGCCTCAAGGGGAGTTCCATCATGGTCTATGTACAGGCTGTTTTGGACATAAAGATTTGTAAAACTTTTATCAATTTTCCTTCAGAATATTAGCCTAATCTTAAATAAAGGAGTCGGTAATGTCTGAAGCTTTGCTTAATGGCTACGGGTTTAGGGACATAGCAGTCACTGTAAAAGACAATGGGAATTTTGCTGTCAACTTCACATGAAGAAAAGAATTCATTCTTAAGGTGTGTCCATTTCTTGAACAGAAGTCCTAGCTAGTACAAAACTTTCAGCAACGACTGAGATTGGCCCTTTCCCCTGCAAATCAACTCAAAAAAGTAATTTAAAGGAAAACAACCCCTGCCTATTATCAGTGAAAGAGGATTTGTATTAATAATAACATTAAATAGTCATATCTTTCTGTTTAACTATTCACATTCCACACAGTGGAAATCTACCTCCTGTAATTCCAGATTTTAAAATTGGATTTTAAAATCCATGAAGAAATGTGTCAACCTGCTGAGTGAGAGTACACCAGATGAAATGCATTTTAATAATATCAATCAATGAGTTGCAATCTCTTAATCTTACAAATACAGACCTCACAGCAGTGGATTTTACAGTAAAAATATATTAATTGCAGAGATGCAGGATATCGCCAATAACTGCATGATGCACTGTGTAACAGCTGGGGCATCTAATATAATGACTGCACTCTGGATGCGTCTGTGACATGCCACTGTATATTTTTCCCTTTGGACATGTCAGTAAGAGCCGAATTGCCTTCCTCAGTGTTCAGTGGACAGAAATGCTGTCAAGATAATCACCTTGCAGCTGAGAGAGGCATCTGGTGTGAGAAAGAGCAGTTACACTGACAGGGGATACTAGAGAGTATCGCTGCTGAATGGGGAAACTGAGTCCTGGACTATCCAAGCCCCATCATACAATTAACGTGGACTTAACTCCCATTTCACTCACATCAGTGATGTCCAGGTCGCTTTCAGGACCAGTACTGACTCTAGTGTAGGAACACGCCTTTCCTTCAGTACCCCACCGGACAGGACCAGCTGTCGGGGCCCTGCAGGCACAAGGCACAGGCACAGGCAGGAAGGTGTGCAGCACCCCGTCATCTCTTCACCACCCGGTTGGAAAGCGCCCTTGCAAAGCCAGCACCCAGGACAGCATGAGCCATTTGCACAGCATGTGGTATGAGATGCAGCCAGCGAGACAACCCCCAGGCTTCCCATCGGACCCCCAGGAAAGCAAGGGCAACGTGCATGGAAGGGCTGCCCCTCAGGTCCAATGGCCCAGGCTCCACCTAGTTAAACCAACTTCTTTTGCAGGACCTTCTGCGCCCTTGCCAAAACCCACAGCCCTGATCAAGTCGAAGCTTCTAATCCTGAAGGAAAGAAAAGTCAGGATAACCTCACAGGTGAGATTCATCGAGCTGTTGGAAGTAGTGTGTCCCCTTTTATGGTTTTTTTCCCCCAAATGAGAGGGGCAGTTAGCCCTTAATTTTCAGGAAATTCTCTTTACTTAGTCCAAATCCCGTTTAAATGCAAGTCTGTGGCAAAAGATATAAAAAGAGGATTATTGCTGGCAAAGTTCTGCATCTCTTTTTCAACAAACTGCATGCCTGTGGCAAAGCTAAAATAACAACAACAATGCAATGTTTACTAGTCATGAATGTCGTGTCTTTTGTCTCTTGTGTGGTTATTGCATTTGCCGTCACATGATGCTTGTTTTAATTTTTGCTTTGCTCTTTATGTACTAAATTACTGCCATTCTGTACTTGATCTTGGTTAGCAAGATTTTTGTGCTGTGGTTATGTATGTTTTTTATGTATGTGTGTGAGAAAGAGAAGGAGAGAGTTCGGATACACACAATGGAGTATGCCTACTCATTGTATGTACATATAGATACCAATGACTAAAAGATACTGCATATACATATATATATGTAGATATGAAGAGTAACTGATATCAGAAATACAAGACATCAAATGGATCTAGTGGCACAAGAATGGGTTTTGATTGATTTAGATAGCCTTTAGAATGCAGAAGTATATTTATAGCCTTGTATATAGTTTCTCTTTAATTTATGTAATATAAGACTAGGTATATAAATTAAAGCAAAACGTAAACAGAAGACAATATATCTTCCTCTGTGTCTTCCTATTTATGTATCTGTCCTTTTTCTACTCCCTTTTGTACTCTCCCCGTCTACTTACTTTGGTCTTTTGCTTTCTAACTTGCTGTAGCTCTGTTTTCCATCCACCTATACTGACTTTTCAACACTCCCATGTCCCCCCGTTGTTCTCCAGACATGGCTTTTGGATTACAGTTATTTTTTTGAAGAAGCATGTTACAAACTCTTGATACAGCTGCTATTTGCAGTGATGGTTTTGCTATGCTTTAAACTGCTTTTTGCCTACTTCGTATTCAAGAATAGAGTCACGCTTTCAAATATACTGTCCTCTCACTTTGATGTTTCTCTTAATACAGTAAAAGCAAACAGCACGGCAGGTGAACATTAGCAAAAGCCACAGCTCCACTTTCCCAGCAAGTGGCAAAAATGTGAATATACACTAGGAAACCTAATTCATGACTGCAGGTAAATAGATTTTTTTAATATTTCATACCCCTGTTAAATTTTTTTGTTGCAGTGAACATTCATATATTTGCTTGTACACATCCATTTTCTCCTTACAAACAAACATACACATGCATGTCCTTCCCTTACATCAATTTTTTCCTTTGTTTTTTGTTTTTTTTTTCTTGTTTTAGGTAATTCACAATTTTGTCCAGCCCCGAAGGTATGCTAGTTCATGCCACTCACTCTCATGCTGGCAATGATTGCGTACAGTCAGAGTGCAATCGGTACCGTATTCTTCTCAGTTTAGT